TACGAGGCGGTAGAAAATTCTGTCTATCTAGAGACCAACTTAAAGTCCAATGCTTTGGAAAGTAAAATCCTCTCTCTACGAACCAAAACCAAACTCTACAGATCCCACAACATTTCTGTCCTACTATATGATGCAGCAGCGTGAACGATGGCAAACGATTTATGGTATTTTCACATTGCCAACGACGTATATCTCAAACGATGGAGCGATGAGAGCTCTACGAGTTATACGGCGACATTGATGCAGTTCAGCGAATGAAGAGACCGCGGCTACGCTGGCTAGGTCAAGTCGTCCGAATGAATGAAAACACTCCAGCTTTTAAAATATGCGATTGTTGGAAGGATCAGATAGAGAATGAGCTGTGGAATTTTATTGTTGTTAATTAATTTTAATATATATGTAGTAAGTGTTAGTATAGAATCGGAACTTACATTTAAAAAATGTAAATTTCCCTTAAGTATGGGTATTTAATACAATCGAGGCCTTAAATTTTTTTCACCCAAAACACAAATTTTCCACACAGATTTAAGAAAAATTCATTATCGTTGCTTCTGCAGTCAAAAGAAAAAATGGCCAAAGTGAAAATAGAAGAAAATTGCAAGATGTGCTGGTGATATAAACTGCTGCTACCATTTCCGGTTCGTATTCTTGGCATTGTTGTTGTTTTTGTTGTTGCCCTTCTTCTTCTTCTTCTTGTTTTCCGTTGCATTTGCTGGGCTTGCTGATAAAATATGGCCAGAACGATGTACAGCTACAACTTCGTTTGGTCTGGTTTACCAACACACAAGCCACAGCAAATGGGAATTCGCAGTCAGGCCAGAAAACAAAATCTGTTTACATGCCACATTCGTTCAAGACAACATTCATTGAGGAGGCAGTGGCAATGGCATTGGCAAAGGAGCAACTTTAAGTCGCTTCACTCAGGCATTCGCTAGAACGTCCTTCTTTTTAACAATATAAACAATAATGCAGATCTATGTATGTACATATAAGTAAAAACAAATTGAAAAACGAATGTGTTCCATGGCATAGCCCTACATACACATACACATGTATGTATGTATTTATCCATGGTGAATACTTATGCGCGAAAGACAAGTCAGCGCGGGTAGCGTAAGCAATCCGTGAGACTGATTCATCTGTTTGCGGAAAACCAAATGCATTTTATGAGTCCGTCGGCTTTGGTCGATACTGTTGCATGTGTGAAAATGTAAAACTATTTCCATATACTTATTTAAATCATGTACTTGTATGCATACATATATTGCGATTATCACTAAATTAGCTTTAGTAGTTTCTGTGCATTTTTCAACCTATTTGTTATGGGAATCAGGCTCAGCTCAGGCTGAATATATAATATGACGGAGTTTGTGCATGCATTTCACTATTTTCGTTAATAAATCATCTTCACAAAATAATTATTTTTGTTGGAAACAGACCGGTCCAAGTGTTCTTTTTCTTCTTCTTCTTTACCTGTTATCGACACTGCTTACGCGATTATATCCAAACTTAAAACATTGCGCCATTCAATTCTATTCTTCCCTGTTTGTCGCCGAATTGGAGATTCCAAGTTCAGCCAGGACCTTCTTAACCTGGTCTTTCCCACGTTTTGAAGGCCTTCCACATCCTCCTCTTTCACCGGAGGGTACTGCATCGAAATTTTTCCAAGCTGGAGTATTCTCATCCATCCGGACCACATGCTGTTTCTTGATTCGCTGAACTATGTCAATGTCATCGTATTATATAACTCGTACAGCTTTTCATTCCATCGGCTGTGGTCTTCGCCATTCTCAACTCGTAGAGGAATATAAGTGTACGCTAAACCTTTTGCTCGAAAACTCCTAGCGCCGACTCATCAGATGTTGTCATCCTCCATGCCTCTGTACCATATAGCAAGACGGGAACTATAACTTGTAGCGTTTGGCTTTCGTTCGTTGAGAGAGGACTTTACTTTTCAATTGCCTACTCAATCCAAGGTAGGGCCTGCTAGAGTGATTCTGCGCTGGGTTTTCCGGGCTAGCATTGTTGTTGGTTTTGTTACTGGTTCTTAGATAGATGAAATTTGCGATGAATATTTGTGTGATGACAGGAGGCGTTTCGTCTTGCCCTCGTTCACTACCAGACCCATATCCTTTAAGATGCAAAGCCACGAATTGGAGGAAGAGCTCGGTGGATAATCGCTTCAGCGGTTACAAAGCGCCTATTATATATAAAGCTATAATGATAAGGTCGAAAGTTTGTGGGCTTTAGAGTTTACGCCGGTCTTAAAGCCCTCTGGAAGCCTTCTGTCGGCCAGTTGATCTTTCTACTCAGGCATCTCGGTCTCTGTATGGTTTGATCCGTCTTGCTTCCCGCTTCAGTTCGCGGTAGCTATCACACGCATTGTGGTTGATGGCAACTTGGCTTATTTTCTCTTCATGGCGTTATGGCAGTCCTCCTAGTACCAGCTTTTTTTTGCGACCGATCCAATACTGAAAATCCGCTCCATTATATGGCCGTCCTTACCCGTCCATCGCACTTCTCGGATGGCGGTGATGTCAACCAGTTGGGCAACGGCACCTTCCGAATCCACGGACATTCCAGGTGCAGGCCCTCAAATTGTGATCTTTAATTCGTTTGCGGGGGTCGTCATTAAAAAATGGTATCTCATTCGAGACATTATAACTTTTTTTCATTTGAGCTGGTTGCTACGTGGCAGCTTCCAAACTCTGTGCACAGCCTGGCTAGGCGATTAAGTTAAAAATTTTAACACATTTATATAGCGAGTCGCTTGCTTCAAGACCGTCGACTATTAAAAAAAAAGCATTTCCATTGGCGAGGTAATCCATATCTGAACGTAGACCACATAATTCCATAGTGAAGTGGAGTCGCTTGAAATTAAAAAAAGTATCGTACAGAATGATAGGGATTCTGAAAGGTCCGGTAATAGTTGCTGCTCCCATTACTTTCCTCTTCAAGTTTTTTGATTGTAATTCGTACGTTGTTGTAGTGTTTCGACTAGTTAATATTACGTAGCATTATTATATAATCGGCACTTCGATTTTCAAGAAAGAATTTAAAAATTCCATCTGAAGATATATGTATTCAAAAAATTAATCCAAATCGAACCATACATAGATTTGTAAAATTGAAATAAATTCTTCGTAAAAAGCCATCTATGTATCGAATTTCAAGAAAATAGCCATAGATATATACTTAAATCTATACAGCATCAAAGAAGAAATTGAAATCACAACGGAAAATACGAACAAAAAATGCGTAATCATCCGAGCCCCTTGGCTAATACCTTGGCCTCCGCAACGAGCCAAACCCGTCTAAATAAAGGAGACAAACTAGCATTCTAAGGAGCAATGTTAAACCTGCTGCCTATACCTGCTAATAACGTTTATGTTTTAGTTTACTTTTAAGACTCCACTACTAATTATTATGCCTCCAAAATCGAAGCAGATTTAATAAATAAATACCAATTTGTTTTCTTTATACTTGTTTATCTTGCTTACCCATTTTTATTGGCGAAAATTTCCCAGAATTTTCAACTTCACCTCCACACTAACAGGCCTATTCTGTCGAGGTAACAAAATTTACTTTGGTACTAAAATTTAACATTCAGTAAATTTTGTTACTATTTCGTATTCTGAGTTCACTGTCACGCTGTAAATTTTGTTACCAGCGAAAAAGGATGAAAAAAAAAATTGCTGTCTGATATTGTGTTTTTAGTTTGAGAAAAAATAAAAACCAAAATGGGTAGGCCTATTTCAGGCCAGGAAGTCATTGAAGATAAAGAAAAATGTCTCTCTTAATTTGGAAGATGGCTTTTTTATTCAGATTTTTTATTAGATAATTAGTTTTGATTATTTATGATTTAATAAACATATTCGTAAAACTTATTTATTTTGAAGGGCATCGTCTTCTATTTCAATGTGAATATCATTCTTTTTACCATAGCAACTGGCAAATGTAATTTGACAAGGACGAAAAGAGCAGTGCTGCCAAATTTTTCAAACATTGTAACCAGTTCGCCAGAATACCAAATTCAATTTTGGGTGTTAAAAAGAAGGGCTGTGCTTTCCATTATGGTTCCAATGCTTGTTTCAGCCAAACTAATTGACCAATACTAATGAAATTTGCAGGAGTTATTGCTGTTGATCCAATCTATTTTTATTTATTAAAATTAGCACAAAAATGTTTATGTATTATAAATAATTTGTTGTTAATAAATTTACACTTTCATCACAAATTTTTATTTAGCACGTGCACTTATTTGTAATCTGTAAAAAAAAAAAAACAGGGAAGACCCGTTCTTAAAAATTATAGAAGCCGTCAAATATACATATAAAATATAAAAATTTTAATCTAACTGTTTTATTTTAGAATTTCTTTTTTATATGTGACAACACCAAAATTCACGGTAAAGGCTATGTACAATAATAAGGTAAAAATTCAATTTTTTTGCTATTTCAAATGTAAATATTTCGAAAACTATAGGTCTCCGGTAGGTTTGGTTTTCGGTTTCTGAGAGAAGGTAGAACCCCCTACCACCCCTTATAATTCATTTTTCCCAAAGCCTGGAACCATAATGGAAAAGTTTCCCAAAAAAAGTAACAAAATTTACTTTACCGGTAACCGGTGAAAATAGGCCTGTAAATGTCAAAATTTTGTTACTTTGGGATTTGGTAGCAATTTGTACAACTTAGCAGCATAGCGAGCAAAACAATTATCGATCTAAAACAAACGGGTTCCACAAAACAAAAAAACATATGTATATCAGAAAATATAAACATTTTTGAAAAATTTCCTTTAGCAACGATTTTACTTGGATACGAATTTTGTTTATTGCACTTGCCATCCACAAACAAGCGTAGAAATGTCACTTAGGAACAAAACAAAAGCACACAAATTTTCTTTAGAAAAACAAATAACTTTTGAAGCTTTGAAAATTTTATAAAAAATGATAAGTATTTTATTATATAAAGCAGGATTTTAGTGTGCCATATGTATGTGCAAAATATTTGACAACAAAATTAACAAGATTAAAAACTAAACTAAAAAAGTTTATACAAATTGTGAAAAATATCAACAGCGAGAGAGTTAACCGGCTTTGGCACGAATTTCAAGTGAAGATACTCAAGAGCAGGAGAACTCCTCATACAAGATGGTAAGTTTAAACATAAAATATTTTTTTTTTTTATTTTGAGAAAAAGTTAAAAAAGAAACAGTTTCTTCAGCACTTTGGTTGAAGTTAATCAAAGAACTAGTAGACCCGGCTACACCTTGCTGCGGCTTTCGAAATATTTTCGATTTTTTTTTAATTGTTTTGCAAAAAACGATAAAACACGCATATTAAGCATCATCTAAGTCAAAATAGCGCTCTCAGGCCAATAGGCCGAGTGTGATACCATTGTGAGGCACCTGTATTTACCTTCTCGAGTGTTCGAGTAATTTCGTGTGCCTTAAAAAAGCACTTTCTTTATAAGGAATGAGCGATGAGTTTAGGATGAAAAAGATGGAAATGGGGCAACGTATGTTTGTAGTCTTTGCGCGGTAAATCTCTGCTGTGTTTTGTAGGATTAAATTAGGTTAGGTTGAATTGGCGCACCCAGCAGACTTAGACGATATTACGTCCATGCTGCACTGCTAAACTCTTTATTGCGTCTCTAATTCGAAAAGCATTGTAGTTGTTTTCACAAAATGAATAGTCGTTTAGGCCTTTTCGCCATTAAATGTCTGCCGAATGCTGGACACTCACATTCCCTACATTTCCTGTACTTTTTATCCTCAACGCTAAAAGCAATGCCGAGTTAAAATGAAAATCAGCCTCTTTACCGCTAGTAAAATTTTTTTAAATGTAGCATCATACGAGGTGTGGCAATCAAGTTATGAGACTGACTGCATAAAAACCGTAAATTTCAAAATTATTCTACAACTCTGCCATACCCTTTAAAGTAGTCCTCTTCCAGCGCGTTTTCCATGCTTCATAACATTTCTGGAACGCTTCGACTGAGACGTCCGCGTGTAGCCGCCTGGATGTCCTCAATCGACTCAAAATATTTTCCTTTTATCACCTATTTTGTTCTAGGGAGCAAAAAACGTCACAGCGTGACATATCGGGCGAATAAGGTTTTTGTTGCAACACGGCGATCCCTTTAGAGACCAAATATTGGGACACGCTGAGGCGAGGGCTCCTGTTCCCCGTGGTACCAGATTTAGGTCTCCGGTCGAACCTCGTAGCCGAAACTACTACCAGTTGAGCTTCCATACAGCTCCGGACTGGTGGCCTGGGGTTGAACTTCATTCTCCGCGTACCAACTCAAACATGACCATTCATACTCCTAACCTAATGGTCAATTAAGCCTCAGATGCCTTCGCCGTCTAAACACATCACGCGCAAACACTTCAAACACACGCCTGTACTCTCCACATGAGAGAACATCACACACCCTATACCGTCCATCTGTCCTAACTATTCCCATACCCCCTAAGTCCCTAATGTCTGAGTACATCGGGCATTCACACAACACATGCATCCAATCCTCTTGCTCTATACCACACTCACAGCTCGCCGTTCCGCTCAAGTACCTCTCATGCAAAAAAGCATTTAGAGGCCCATGACCAGTTATCAGAAAACTCATACTCAGAGAAAATCTGAAGTCTGGATTTTCCCCCACAAACGAGACATCCCGAATGTACTCATTTGTCACGCGACCATTAGAGCTATTCTCCCAACGGTCTTGCCACTTCCTAAACACACATGTACTTAGAAGCCTACGGCATTCCAAGTACCCACACTCTAGGTCCCTATCAGTTAACCAACCATCCTGCAGCAACTCAACACTCAAACCCCTCTTCAGCTTGAAGGCTACAGCACGCTGTATCACCACCAAGTCGAGCGGAGGGGCACCCACTAATACCTGCAACGCCTCAGTAGAGACGGTGCGGCACACTGGCACACAAGCTAATAACATCACTCTCTGCACAGATAACACTCGCTTTCTACCTACTGCCGTCATAACTGATTCGTACCATACAGCGGAGCCATAAGTGGCACAAGCCACGAACAGACCCCGATATATTACACGTACAGCACGCCGACTGAGACCACAATCACACCTTAAAACGCGACGTACTTGCCCGACAACACACTGCATTTTCTCTTTCAAACGCACAAAGTGCGGAGCAAAATTCACTCTCTCACCAATGGTCAGTCCCAGGTATTTGACCTGAGTCACATACCTGACACTGGCCCCATTTATACGTACAACCGGTGGGCGAGTCAGGCACAAGTACCCCTTGAGCAACATTGTCACCGTCTTTTCCACCGAGATGTCAACACCAACACTCACACCCCAATTGTGGACGACTCCAAGGAGCCGTTCACCAGCACGCTCCAGATCCAACCTTGAGCATAAGTAAAAGATCGTCCGCATACGCACAACACTTACACTTGGATCACAGATGGAGCCCTGAGGGCTGCCACGAACCACACCAACACTAACACATTCTTTTTGCCCTACAATTGTTGCTTCTCTGCCCGAGAAATAACTGCGCCAAAGAGTTATTTCTGGACATCGAAGCTCCTCAAGTCGCTCAATAACTCTCACCCAACACAGAAAATCAAACGCTCCTTTAAAGTCAATAAATATACCCTGAAGGTATTTATTGACATTCCCCCTAACAACATTTTGAACATACATCCAAGCATCTTCCACACCACGTCTTTTCCGGAAACCATACTGTCTATCCGACCACTTACCCCTCATTAGCTCCTGAAGACGTTCAACCAGAACCCTTTCCAGCACCTTGCCAAGTACCGGAAGGAGACTGATGCCCCGGTAAGATCGAGGATCACTCCTGATCTTATCGGGGGACTTCAGGAGAGGAACAACTCTAGCACACTTCCACACACGTGGGAAGTAACCCTCCCATATGCATTTATGGTAAATAGCCTCCAGATGGTCAGGAATAAACTTCCACAAGCTCTTGCACAACTCTCCGTTCAAACCGTCGAGACCTGGCGACTTTTTACTCCTAACCAGGCTAAATGCATATCCTAGTTCATCTTCATCTATTGGAGGCACAGGCACCTCTTGTGCATGAGGTACCTGTGACTCCGCCCTAGGAAAGAACGTGTTAATCAATACATTCGCGCATTCACTCCATGTTGATAGTACAGATCCATCAACACGGAGAGAATTTACTTACTAATGTGGTGTAGGATTAAGCCGTACAAATGTCCAATATCCCTAAGCAGATTCTTCGCTGAAGCAGTAGACGAATGTGACTAAACTTGTTTAGAGCCAAATCACTGCTGTAATAATTCGAAACTCAGCTATGTACTCGTATTATTGCCGCTTCGTGTACAGAGCGTAGATCAAACAAGGGCCGCTGTTTTGAGCAGTTCGACAACAGCTCTCCTGACCAGACATTCTTAAACCGATGCGGAACATAAGTTTTGAAAGACTTAACGGGATTTCGGGGTTAAGAATTTAACTGCGGTAAGGCGTAGCCAAAGCCGGTTCCCACGACATTCGGTCTTTATTATCAATTTTGATTTTTTTATGGGTAAAATTTATTTTTCTTCGTTAACGAGACAGCGATTTTTTTAAATTTTGAATCTAGTCGTGTTTACTGAGTTTCATGCCTCAAGACGCAACAGCGCAACCTTTCTATATTCACTAAAAAAAATTGTTTAATGGCTATGAAGATTTACATTACAAGCGTCGTTTAAAGCGATTATCTGCAGCAACAATACATCATTAGTGGAACAACAACAACAACAACATAAAAGATGCAACACGCGTTAAACCGTTCGACGATGAGCAACATACAACGCGACAAAGCGACGATATATTGAGCATCACTTTATCATCTCTGAGACTTCGTTCTGCTACGCTGCATAAGGCGCGTCGTCGTAGCGATTGCAGCAATTTTTCAACAACAGCCGTCTTTGCTACAACAAATACATATTTACATACAACTGCAGCGCAAGTGCACATGGAAACTTGAGCGAAAATGATGCTAAGGCATACTGGCGTTGCAACAACAATATTTATAACCAAAAAATATGGAAATATTTATGAAATCAAGCCAACAAGTGCAAGTACCACGCCAGTGCATATTCGCTGACGTCGTTGTTGTTGCGAATTTGTTGTTATTTTATTTATGAAATTTTCACTGCTTTCGCCGTTATTTTCGCCAACTATCGAAAACGAGTCGCTCGCTCGTGGCACCGCATTTTGTGGAAAGGAAAAGATTGTAGGATTGTAAGGCTGCTCGGGCAGTCCGAGTGTTGAATGTTTGTGGGATTTTTTTTGTTTTTTTTTTTTGAATAATTTGCAATCATAAAATATGCAATAAGCCAACAGCTGTTGTGATACTGTTTTGAAAGCCGCGTCGTCATATTATTTAAACACTGGCTGCACACAAAACAAAAATTGCAAAATACTCGTATGTATGTAAGTAGTGAAGGGGAAAACAATATTCGCGACTAAATACTTATAAATGTCAAGTACACATATACATACATATGTATATACAGAAATTCATGAAACATTTAAGTAAGGATATTTTAAATTCAATTAAATTTTTGGTTTTTGTATCAATTATCCATAGCATAAACATTTTGAACCAGTCTTTAACTGCTTTCTCTGAGTTTCTTGAGTTCGAAAAATAACTATTGGAAGTGCAGAGGAGAGGTCTCGGGATATGCTCTTTGGCTATACTAGGTATGACAATTAAGTAATGAGATAGTGGTAACCCTGCGACCTTGAACTCCTGACCCTTTCCCTTTTCCTGGCATCCTTCTCATCTCCATTGATATATTGTATTTGTCATCGCTCTAGCTTGTTTAGTTCGCCTGCTGTATCGTGTTGAGTAAACGTGTGATCGTGGTGCTCGTCCCGAAGAAACGAAATCGAGAGCAATGCGTCGCGATAAAATTTTACGCCAAATGGGGCGAAACAGCTACGTAAATCAAGTCTACTATCGCCAAGTACTCGTAAGATTTCGAAAAAGAGTGAACAGGGTGCGCCCACAAATCGTTCGTAACTGGATCCTTCATTACGACAACGTGCCGCGTCACACCGCCCTCAGAGTGTCCCAGTATTTGGCCTCGAAAGGGATCGCCGTGTTGCAGCAACATCCTTATTCGCCTGATAT